TGGGTCTCTGTAAATAATTTTACAAGGAGTACGGTCTAGACCCGCTCTATTTGAAAAGTGTCGTTATGAATTTGCGCTATACAAATAAAATTGAATTTTCTAGAAGATCATCATATCTTTGTAGAGTCTCTTAGAGTCAACTATTCATAAGCTCAGAAAAACTTCTTCTCTTCAGCTTCGTCACAAACTATACAAATTGTAATCTGAAGATAACTAGTACCTTAAACTCTAAATGTAGTGGAGTGAAAAGTATAACGTTTCCTTAAAATAAAGTAGCCTACCTCAAATTTGTACTTAAGTGCAGCACTTGAGTAAATGCACTAAGTTACATTCCAACACTGGTAGTGCGTGTGGGTGTGTCAGTGCTTTCACAACAGGCTACAATTGGAAACACATTCAGTAGAAGTGGGTGTTCCCATGCAGGAAGGTAAGCCATGTCCAAACCTGCTCACCTTGTCTGCTGTTGCAGCAAACCAGCACTGCATACCTGCATTTAGGATACTGGAACACTCCCTCTCTCCACTTCTCTCTGCACCTCTCTCAGTCTGTCTCTCTATAAACCTGTGTATTTGTAGATCAAGGTCTTATTGTCAACATGGCAGATATGTTACAAGTGTTTTATACCAGCGTGAGCAGTTCCCTGGAGGTACAGTATGCAGTCTTACTTGCTTCATTATTTTACTTGTATAGGCATATTGTTAAACACTGACATATTGGCAGCATTTAACAACATATTATAAGGCATGTTGAGTTTAGTACATCATATTCTGTTTGCACAGTATTTTGTTTCTGTAGACAAACTGTAGCTGTACATCGTGGACATTGAAGAGGAGTTTAACGCAAAGCAACGCATAGAACTTGGTATGACAAAACTAAAAACAATAAAACTTAAATCAAAGAATTCTGTCCTTTCCAGATTAAGAAACACCAGGAGAAAATATTCCTAATATTGGATGGCAAGAAAATCCAATACAAACCGGTGGACATTGCTCAGAATTCTGAAGACAAGGATTTAATGAGGAAGATAGCAGGGAACCCGACTGCGCTGCCCCCTCAAATATGCAAGGGGGATGTCTACTGTGGGGTAAGTCTCACACAATATCCCTACAGATATTATTGACAATGTAACACCTTCTTAAAACTAGTGGAGTTACGAGTGAATGTAAATCATTTACACGCTCGCTGCATTTGTCACTGGGAAAAAACCCTTTTGTAGGGCGTTGACGCAGGAGTTAAATAAATATTTACAGTATATTAAACCACCCACAGGTTTGCACAGACACACACACACACGCACACACACACACACACACACAAACACACATATGTCACAAATGCATGCATAAGTGTAAACAGCTATTGGACTTTATTACACATACAGGTATGCTGGAACAAACCCTTTCCCCCCCAACACACACACACAAACACACACCGGATTGCTCCTCGAGGGTTTTGACAGTCATTTCAGCATTTAGTCAGACTTTGCGGTGACATAAAAGTTTCTCTAGCTCAAGCTCTCCTGACCTTTTAAAGCCACTAGTAGGTTGACATTTCTTGTTCAAACGGAAATGTCTTGACAGCTGTTGGATGGATGGATAATGTTTCCCACATGATGTATTGTTATAACTTTTCAACCATCACCACGTCAAAATGAAAAATGTACTATTTTATCACCAAATACCTGCAAACCTAATGGTATTCCCATGAGTTTCAGTTGTGCTTTGTGTTTAGAGCTAATCAGCAAATGTAAGCATGCTAAAACATGACACTAAGATGGTGGTAAACATTACCTGCTGAACACATTTTGACACTGTGGGTGTGAGCTAGTTAGTGTGCTGCTGTATGCATCAATGCTCAAAACACCATTACAGTATGTCTAAACTTGTCTTGGAGTCGCAATAACATTTCAGACAATGTGCAATGGTAGCTTCTCATATGCCACCTCTCTTTTTATTATTGTGTATCTCCTTTTGTTTCTTTTATTATTGTTATTATTTATCTCTGTCTGCGTGTATGTATGGAAAGAAACCATTTTAAGAGCCGAACAGCAAATTTTGTTGCAATGTGCAATGACAATAAAGGCATCATATTATATTCTAAAACACACTAGTTTCTTGATTAGTTAGCTAATTGTGTGAAGAAGAAAAAAGAGAGCTTAAAAGAGATGTTCAATAAAAAAACCTATACTGTGTGAAGTGGGCAAGCTTAGCTGTTAGGAGATTCTATAGCATATACAGTACACATTTTCTACAATATATAATAATTACATTAAGATTTAAGAAGAAAATGTGTATAACATCTGTTTTGTCTCTCTGCTTGTCCTCCACCCTCATCCCCAACACCTCTTCTTTCTTTCAGGACTACACTGCATTCGAAAATGCCGTCGAGATGGAACAATTAGAGGCGTTTCTCAAACTCTAAAAGAATGGAGACCAGCTGTGGGACAACTCAACCACGTTGCCACGTTCACTGCAAAATCTAACATCTAGTTAAGCAAACGAACAAAAAATAAATCTATAAAAGTCTATTCGAATATTTAAGTTTTCTTTCATTAGATTTGGTTGTGACAGAACAATGTTTTCATACATTTTCTCCTTTCAGGGAAAAGCATATGAGAGTTGCACATCTGAACAGTTTGTATGATGAAAATAAAATTTGTTAAAATCTTTCAAACTCTGCCTGTTGCACTCGTTGATATGAATTTTGTCATTTCTTTTTTTGTCTAGTGTGGTATCTACCTGCAGATTTAGTGGGATGAAGAAACTGTATTGTGTCGCTTTATGTAAGAGAAGAAAAAATGAATTTTGTGCAGGGTTGTTATCTTAGAAGACCTCAGCGAGTGAAAGTATGAGGGAGCCTTTTCCATTTATATGATAAAAGCATCAGCACGGCAACAGATCATATATTGCACTTACATCGGAAAGTGTCACCAAACACAACCACATTTATGGTCTTGACCTAATAACCACAAAGCAGGAGCCGGCAGCACAGCCACAATACACAATAACATTCAAATTGCAGAACCATGCAGAGACTAATGACATATAGACAAACCTTTTATCCCACTGATTGCCACAAACTTTCACAACAACTACCCCTGGGTGTCACGATTTTGAGAAAAGGCAACAATACACAGTGTCAGCTATAGACTGATGGAACCATGTGTCAGTTATAAATGAAAATTTACATTGATGAAAAGTTAATATTGAGTAGGTCTAATCAGCGACTTTGAAATATTGGAGAGCACTGATTTTAGCATTTTTAATCTACATTTGAAGCAAGTTTTTAAAAACTAAAACAACTCTAAAAAAAAACCTAAAAGTTAAAATTATTTTCATAGACTTATTACACTTGCATATTAGTCATATTGTATTGACATGAACACAAAGATGTAGGCTATACCGTTGACTTTATTTGGTAACTCAGTACAATAAACAACTGCAACTACAACAGGCAGCACACTGGACGCCCCAGTACGGAGCGGATGGGGCCTGGTGGTATTAAAGCAATGTCGCGGGCTCATGACGTCCTCTTTCCCCGCTACCCGAGAGGAGGTTTTGGTGCGTTTCCTCAACGACCGTCACAATCTACCGGATTAATCTAACATCTTGGTTTATAAAGTGACCACAGTGGGCTCTTTACGATGGATAATAACTCTCCTTTCATATCTGTTCTTTATTGCAGAACTTTAACTCCAACATCCAATAAAATCAACAATGGCCGAGGAAGGGTGAGCATGACGATTGTGTTCGCCGCTAGCCCACCGGGATAAACCGGAATAAACCGGGATATGTTAGACACACAACGGCGCTGACATGAAGCTAGTGTTTGTAAGAAGTTGTGGTGGTGTAATGTTAAGTGACTGTAGGTACCGGCTTCCTACAATGACAGGTGCGACCATTAGATAGTCTTATTTTGTAGGAGCTAACCGGTTAGCTTAGCTGAGTTGCAGGTTTAGGGACACTTGGTATCTCTCTGTGTGTGTGTGTGTGTGTGTGTGTGGTTTAACTTAGGAAGGTTGAGCGTTCGTAAGCTCGCTCTTATTCTGCTAAACAGTGATTAAAATGGTCCATTCAGTGGCCGCAGTAACGTGAGTTAACGTTTTAATGTGGTCGTTTTCAAAGTACTCTGGCCACAACAGCACAAGGCACTGCAGTTTATTAGCACATGCGAATGGTATGCTTATACAAGCTTCACATTTAGAAACACTTCTCCTAAAATACGAGTAAATGGAGTAATAGAAGCACACATAGGGGGACACTAAGAACTGAACCCTCAACTAGTAAAAGGCCAATGCTTGTGGTAGCAGTTATGTCAGTAAACTGGTTCTTAATTGGACTTGGACTATAGTAAACTTATTTCATATATTAAGTTAACAGAAATGACGTGTGTGTGTATTTTAAGGGGTAAAGAAATGATGTTAGAGGGGCGCTGTGGTGTGTCTGTGTTCACAAGTTGCAGTAAACTGTAAAACATGTTAACGTGTTTATCTTGACTTGTCATGTCAATGAGGTTTTACTTATAACGAGTAAATGAAACCATGTCTCTAATCAAGAATTAGACGTGTTGTCTGGAGCAATGGTAGCGTTGTCATCGCACTGATGGAGAGGTCAGCTGTCCTGAGGCAACTTTAAATGTGCCGTTCCTCTGAATGAGCTCTGGTGCTTGAATGATGACTCTACATTCTTTTGTCGGATACCCCTTCACTCTCCAATGAGTGAGATCCCTATTCTGACATGCTGGGAGCTCTACTGGAATCCACTTATTTGTCCTCCCCATTTTGGTCAACGTGTAACCTATTTTTTTGTTCTCCCATTATGATTTTGATAGCGTTGCCGCTGGAGGTGTCATGGATGTCAACACCGCTCTCCCTGAAGTGCTGAAGACCGCGCTCATCCACGATGGTCTCGCCCGTGGGATCCGTGAGGCTGCCAAGGCCTTGGACAAGTGCGTTCATTTCTTCTTTCCTTTTTAATATGGTTTTGTCCTTCAGTTGGTGTATCGCTGATATCTTGGCTCCCTCTACTGAACTTCAATGCGGAAGCCTGCCATTGTTACCCAAGTTCTGTCTGAGATGTGCCGTCAAACTTTTGAAATCTGTAAATGGCGTATAAACCCCTGCTGTAAGTTAGTTCACTGGTCTTTTGCAGGCGTCAGGCCCATCTCTGCGCACTTGCGGCCAACTGCGACGAGCCCATGTACGTGAAGCTGGTGGAGGCCCTCTGCGCCGAGCATCAGATCAACCTGATCAAGGTAATGTGCCTGCTCATGACCAGACTTGTTTAGCATCAGGTTTGGCAGACGAAATGCCCTCTCACATGTAGAATCTGTTGTTTCAGATGTCTTGTGTATTGACGGATGAGATATGGTAGCATGTTATCATGTACAGCTGTATCGCTGATGATGATTTGGCTCCCTCTACTGAATACCGTGAGGAGATTGCCACTGTTACCCAATTTCTGTCTGAGATACAGCACAGTACCCACATTGCTGCCGTTTTATCTCACTGCACTACAAGTATTAAAAGTGCACATTGGTGATTGGTTTATCTAAATTGTAATGTTTATATTTATGAAAATGGGATCTTTTAAAGACAGAATATTCACTCTTTCACATCTTTTTGAAAGTAGTTAAACGTAGGTGTAACACAAGTTAAGAAATGCTGTGTAACTTAATTTCAGGTTGATGACAACAAGAAACTCGGGGAGTGGGTCGGTCTGTGCAAGATCGACCGTGAGGGCAAACCCCGCAAGGTGGTGGGCTGCAGCTGTGTCGTGGTCAAGGTAAATATGGCTGCTTTACCGGCCTAAATTCCCTTGAATAAAGGCAGGGCAGAGATGCTGAAGTCTTTCATTTAGTGAGACTACAATAGGAAGTTGATGAAACAGATGGCTGTTAAGCAGAGGCGTTAAGACTTCTAACTAGATCTGCCAATCAAGTGCAGGTGCTGGGCCTTGTGCCATGCAGCTGTTGTTGATAACTTTTGGCTAAATAACAGCCAGGGTACGAGCCCCGTCGTCTCTCTGTGGTGTCTGGGGTCCCTAAGAATGGCTACATATGACAGCAAGCATTGCACGCTATTGACAGGTCATCACTAATCTCCTATTCAATAAAAAAAAATATTGTTCAAATCAGCCTAACTATATTTTCATTTCTAGTTAATCGACTACTATATATCTACTATCTATACTTATCTTTTTAAGTCTGGTTGACTGATGGGGGGGGGGAAATGTGTAAGATGATGTACAAGAGAACTACAATATTTCCATGTGATTTTAATGGGACGGAGTAAAAACATGGTAGTTTGGTTGGTTAAATGTAGAGATTGATGGGGAATATCCAGTTTATAAGGTTATTAAACTTATTAGTGCTTTGTGGTGGGCAAACTATTGCCAATGGGTCTCAAACACTATTCCACTAATTTGCCACATGCCAGCAAAGGCAAGGAAGATGACTGAAAACAAGTAAACAAAGATTAATTTTAAAATTGTATTTATTCTTACAATCTTTTTTTAACGAAGAAAGAAATGTACCTGACATGTATTTTAGACCTTGTAAATACACACAATAAGTTTCACTGAATTTAAACTGCTTCTGTTTACAAGGAAACTCTGCAGGGCCGCTCAATTGCCATTAATTACCTCAAACATATATTTACTGATGTGTCTTGTTGCTTTTTGGCTGACGTACAGACACATGTGAAATTTTGAGCTTAGTTGTCTCTTACCTGCTCATCTCAAACTGTATTTTTCTGTCTACAGGACTATGGCAAGGAGTCTCAAGCCAAGGATGTGATTGAAGAATACTTCAAAGGCAAGAAATAAGGTGTCAATAAAATTTGGAAATTAAGTTATTGTCTTAAGTGTTTTTTTTTTTTCTCACCTTTTTGGATATTGGACTGACTACTGTCAGGGACTATGAAACCATGTTTGGATATATAACTGTATTTAAACTTGTTCTAGACTATACTGTTCATGGAACTGATAAAGTTTGTATGAGTCTAAATTGTGAGATGTCAGATTTCACGCACTAATAAATATATTAAGTACATTTGTGCTTTTATGTTGGGCTTTCAGTAAAAGTGCACTACTTTCAGTAATATGCAGCAGTGTATTTATTTTAAGTTTGAGTTAAAAATGTCATTAGGGAAGACAAGATGCATAGGTCATTTGGATAAGTTTTCTCCTTTATATCTACATACATAGACATTTCTGAATAAAGAAAAGACATTCAAACACATTAAGGCACAACACATCATGACGCACATCCTCATTTCCCCCCCACCCCACCCCAAAATTACAAAAATCCAGAGAAAAAAAAAAAACCCAAAATGAATTT